ACCAGTGTCTGCTTGTTTGACTCTCGTCTCAACCGGCCTAATATCTACCTTTTTGACTCTCATGTAAACCGCACTAACGTCTACCTTATTGGTTCTCATGTAAACTAGACCAAAGTCTACCTTTTTTACTCTAGTCTAAATGACATCTCTGGAAACCCGTTTTACATGGGTATAAAACAACCTTATGTCTACATTTTTCACTGTTGTCTAAACCGGATATATGTCTATCTTTTGAACTCTGGTGTAAACCGGTTTACTGTCTACCTGTTTTACTCTCGTGTAAACTGGACTAATGTCTACATTTTGCCTCTACTAATTCGGACCTATGTCTACCTTTTTGGCTATTGTTTAAACTATATCTATGTTTTTGTTATCTTCGACATTAAATAACTAAAGGGTGACATGTAGTTAAAACAACCATTCGAATATTACCTAAATTAAGTTAAATGATAATATATAAGGCCGCCCCCACATTTCTACACGAAATATTAAGAAATGAAATTGATAGATCGTAATGTGATTTCATCCGTGCTCCTTATTTGTTCAAATTCAAAACTGGTTTCTTTCCGTGCGTTTATTATAAATTTATTAAATTCGGATATTTTGTGGTGGTTGAAAATGAAACAGTCACTAAATATAGTATATTATTTTGGGTGGGCTAAGTGCATACTTGAAAAAAGATTAATTCTAATTTGAATCACTTTACAAAAATATTCAAATCTGTTAAGAAGTTAATTTTCAAAGCACTTAGACAAAAGTTGTTGACGTTCAAGTAGTTAAAACTTTCTCACTTTTTCGCCTACCTATTGAAGGGCGTTGATCAGCACATTAATCTCGCATAATTATGTTTGGTCCTCCGTAAATTAGGTCGTTCGTTACGCCCTTCCATTACCGCAGATAAATAACGGCCCATTCCGTTTTGATCGCAAATATACTCGAAAGATTATATATATATATATATATATATATATATATATATATATATATCGGTGACGCTGTTTGGTTTTATTGAAGAAAATAAGGCATACGTAAAATGAACAAAAACAGAAAGCAGAGGAGACGATAACGCACTTCTTCAGTGAAATGGAAAACCATGCCAATTTTTAATCTTTTCATTTCTACCTTCTTACTTCTTTAAATTATGACCTGCAGACGTACTTAAGAATGTTATTTAATATTTTGTTAAAGTCGTTAAGCTCAAATATTTCATGATGCAAGGCGGGATATCACGAATATTTCACAGTCGTGGAACTTGCAAGAAACCTATGCAATCATTAACTTAATAATAATAATTATTATTATTTTCTTTGATTTCTGGCATTTACACATTTCTTTCTGGGTCCCGCCCAGGGACCTAAGGTTAGAAATGGCATTCCACTGATAAAAAAAAAATATTACATAGATAAAGCCCTTCGTAAAGTGTGGGCTGTACTTGTCAGAACAATTTTTTGTATCTCCTTGAGGCATGGACTTCCAGGAATCCCTTCAATTAGTCTACTGCAATTTTTTCCAACCAGTCCTAGGGCTCCAACTACAACAGGGATTGTTGATGTTCCCATATGCCACATTTTCGAGATTTCTATTTCATGGTCCTTGTATTTTGACAGCTTTTTGAATATCTTCAAAGATACATTGCAATCAGCAAGGACTGCCTTATCAATAAGAAGGCACTTTTTTTGTTTGTGGACTTTAATAACAATTCATTATTATTATTATTATTATTATTATTATTATTATTATTATTCCTCCTCCTCTCCCGGAAGGAGTCTTTGGGGCGCCGACGTGCTGCGCTGTCCGCCATTCTCCTATGTTTGTCGCAGTCACGTCCCAGAGCCTAGGTCTCCGCGAATGGTTTCTTGGTATCTTTTAGGCGTTTTTAATCTGGCAAAGACTATCCCTCTCTAGGTTAAGCCACAGCCGATGTCCTCCAGTTAGGTGTCATGCCTTTGTCGCGAACACGTGGCTGATGTGGTTCATCTGAGGAACCCTTCCGCCCTGGCCAGTGTCGTGGGTCGAGGAGGTCCCTTCGCCTAGTGGTGCGGTTTTAACATCACCCCGTCACATGAATTTAGCCCGCCAGCTGAAACGGTTTAACGACAACTTGGAACCATCACGTGAGAGATTTAGATGTACAGCGTGCCAGACATCAAAGGTAATCTAGTGCCACCTATGCCCAAACGTCAAAAATCGAAATAGGAAACCGTGAAATTTCTACGAGGATCACTAGTTATTAATTTCGATCTTCAATTGGTATACTCGCCTTGACAGACAAAGCTAACAGTAAAATATATTTACAACGGGAGATCGTTAGCAAACAACTGGGATATTATATATTTAAATATGACTTACTGCGTTAAAAAGAATTACGACTCCGTGCTAGTTTCCGTCAGTAAGATGGATCCTCAATAAGCTGAACTTTAAACTCTTCAAAATTGGCCAAGATATATTTTCTTTAATTTATGGGATTAACTGAATCATTCAGAAGAGAAAATTCAGAAAAACTATGTTTTTCCTCTTTCTTCTTCAATAAGAGCAACATACAATCAAGAAATCGTGTCTCTTGTGGTTAACAAAGTTACATGACAAATCCTTTATCCAAAGTAATAGTTTTTTTTTTTAGAGGACCTCTCCTTTAAAGTAATCTGAAGGGAATTTAATTTGCTCATAAAATATGATGATTTTGAAAAGCATTTTTATATCTGACATAGAACCTGGTTTAAAATACACACAAATAGATGAAGTCAATATTGCATGGTAACTCATATTTAAAACTTTATATCTATATATATATATATATATATATATATATATATATATATATATATATATATATATTATAATTATTTTAGTGGATACACATTCTCGAATGCACATCAGAAGATGTAATACAGACACGTGTAGGCATTTATATATATATATATATATTCGATGTTTAGAGATTTTTTAAGTTTATACATTCTTTTTATAGATACAAATATTTAAGTAAATGCTCTGTTTATAATAAACAGTATTAAGCAACAATTACCGGCCTGAATATCCGAGAAATTTTCACAGAAAATATTTGTCCTCCGACAGGATTCGAACCTGTATCCTATACGGAACCGTCATTTAGCTTGACGTGCCTTTACCGATAAACATAAAAATGTCTAAAAATAATTGTCGGACTTTGTCCATTTCATAATGTGTGACGTCATATATATATATATATATATATATATATATATATATATATATATATATATATATATATATATAATAATAAATATAAAATCGAATTTTTTTTTCCAGTTTGGATGTTGAAGGAAGACCGTTTATGTGGTTATCTATCACTGATCCTGTACTAATCAGCTTGGAGTAATAATTTCAGATGGTTTTGGCATCTACTGAAATACAAGGTCCATCAACACTGCGCTATCATCTCTGCAATTCGTAACTCGTTGCTAGCTGAGCACGCTTCTGCAGTTTCAGGTGTTGTGGTATTCTGGCCTACATTTGTCAGTCTGAAATAAAAACAGAAATTACTTATTAAATTCTACCACTTTAGAGATCACAATTTCTTTGTTTCATGCAAATGTGGGGATATTAACAAAATTTATAAGTAATTATCAATAGGGAGTTTCTTTCCAGCTACCTTGTACATATATATATATATATATATATATATATATATATATATACCGGTGTTACAGCAAAATTAGCCAATTGTTAGATTAAGATTTGAACCGTTGTATCTTAGAAATGATTAAAGATATCTTACTGGAATTCTCCGAGGATTTTATAAAACTATTGGACTCTACTTTGAACAATAAGTATGTATTTAGCTCCAAGTTGAAATGTTGATCCCTCTTGCTGTTGTGACCTCCTGATCTAGTTTTCATAGTATCCTCAGCATCCTTCTGTAGAACCACATTTCTGTCGCTTCAAGTCTTCATCTTCATATAGGAGGATAGATATCCCGTAATACTTCAGTAAACTTTTCTTTGTTTCTCTCGAATATTTTCTCTTAATACTCTACTTAGCTTTTATAATGCTTCTTTGGCCAACCCAATGTCTTCGGATCTCAGTATCGCACTCCTGTCACTTCATTTTTGCACTTGCTTGATTTTGTTATCTCCGATTTGTACTTTGAATTTTGGACTCATCTTTCTACAGGAGGATGACGAGGATGCCATGTAATCAACGACCAAGTTTTAGAGAAAAGGGCGACAAAAAAGGAAACTTATGCTTAACACCAGGAAGAGACAATTGACGTTTCTAGGGCACATAATGAGGAAAGACGGCTTGGGAAATATGATACTCACAGGACAGATTGAAGGCAAGAGAGACAGAGAAAAACAACTCATAGCATATTTAGTGAGCTTGAGTAAATGCTTGGCAGAACAAGGTTTAGGAGAAATAAGAAAAAGACAGTTCACTAAAAGCTACGAAAATCAGGAAATTGTGGAGGGCCGTGATCGTCTACGTCCTGAAGGGACACGGCACACAAAGAAGAAAGTGAGTCACGTTTCGTCTCTCTTTGTCTTTTGACGCCGAACCATCGGCGAAGCACTTCAAAGTAGAAATTTTCTAAATCAGTTTATATATTTAGCATTCCCTCATATTCTCATCCAATTTTACTCACGCACATACGTATGCACATACCTTGCGAATATAACTTTTGTGTTTTCATAAGATACTTGATATCTGTAGGTCTATTTACACATCAATAAACGTTTTAGACGTCATCCCTGTTGCCACTGACAACAGACTGATGAATTTGTGAATCCCCGTTGAAGTTGAGACAAAGCAGTGCTTGAAAGAAATGGAGAACAAACAAAGATGGTGCGAAGCCATGGAAGATTAGGTCAAAAGGATGACGTCGCCATGTTGGGAATAGCATTTCTGTCATATGTTGGTATCGACGATACAGCAGCAGTCGTCATGAAATAGGCATCAGGGGACATTTTACGTGTTGTCCTATCATTCAAGTGTGGTGTGAGGAGAAAATGATTTGAAATTACATGGTGCTTCTTATCTCTCTCAACTTGTTTATACCCGTCTATCTATCTATCTATCTATCTATCTATCTATCTATCTATCTATCTATCTATCTATCTATCTATCTATCGCCGTCAGTTTATATCTACCGTAATCTGTCCACATCTGTCTATACACCTAAGTCGCTTCATATCTATCTATCTATTTTGATATCTATCTCAACCTGCTCATATCTATCTATCTATCTATCTATCTATCTATCTATCTATCTATCTATCTATCTATCTATCTATCTATCCTCAGTTCGTTTCCCTCTATCTATCTATCAGATCTGTTCATGTGAGTCTGTTTATATCTATCTGTTCATCAGAGTCTGTTTATATCTATCTATCTGAGTATGATCCTATCGATCTATGTACCTCTTCCTGTTCATCTGTTCATATCTATCACAGTTTATTTAATATATATATATATATATATCGCAGTTCAGTATCTATCTTTCTATCTATTTCAGTCTTTTCTTTTCACTCTATCTCAGTATTTTTTTTTCATTTCAATTTATCTCTCTCAGCTTTTTTTTCCTATTCAATCTATATTCTCGTGTCTTCAACTATCTATCGTATCTATAATTATTCATTATCTAAGATTGTTTATGTTTTTGTTTCACTCTCCTCGGATCAATTTATACTTATATCTCCCAGTCTATCGAGGTTTGTCTATCATTGTTCAAATCTCCTTTCTCCGTATCTATGTCTCAGTTTCCTCATATCTATCTATTTCACCTTGTTCATTATATATCTATCTATCTATCTATCTATCTATCTATCTATCCTTTCTCATATCTTTCTGTTTCAGCGTTCTCATACTTATCTATCTATATATCTAAGCTTTCTCATGTATGTCTATTTCAACGTTCTCACATTTATCTAGCCTTCTCTTATCTATCAATCTCAGTTTGCCCATATCTATCCCCCCTCTATCTCTCCATATATATATATATATATATATATATATATATATATATATATAATTTATTTAAAATATGATTCTATTGCTACATAATTTTAAATAAATAATTATATTTAGGCTCTACTTTTGTATCGAGCACTGTTTTTAAAAATAATAACAAAAATACTAAAGAACTTTTTGGATTATTTACCTAACGAGTTCTTTTCCTATTTTCTATATATTTTCACACACACACACACATATATATATATATATATATATATATATATATATATATATATATATATTTATCAGTCTTTTCTCATATCTATCTTTTAATGGATGAACAGATTTTTTCGAGGCTTATCATAAAGACTTTATCATCGGAAATTCACTGAGAATTGAACTTACTACACCAACTAATGGCTTTCAAGATATGCTTGGTTTCTGACCAAACGATATTTACTTGCATAATGCTTATAGACGCAGATTCATCAGGATATCCATAGACAAATTTTGACAGAGCATTTATAAAAAATACTTCTTTTTTTAAACATAATCTCCTTCTTTTATAGTGAAGTCATTCGGCGCTGTATATTAATTAATTAGAAGAAGTCAAACATTATACAGTGAAGATTTCAGATCAAAATTTACCTTTTAATTATGCTTCGGGTGGCAGGTTTGCTGAAACGCATACGTCTGTGTGTTTGTGTGCCTGTGTTAATACGCATTAGACGTGTTTCTACAATCGCATACGTCAATAAAATTATTTTTTATTGATGCACTACCATGAAAATGAAGAAATCTTCGTGAACAAACAGACATATATATATATATATATATATATGTAGAGAGAGAGAAAGAAAGTTAACGAAGTTTTGGTACTAGAGCACAAGTGAGTGGTTAGCTACTTACTAAGTTGCAAAACCAATCCGTTAAATATCACCTCAGTGTAATGCTCTGGTATTTATTAATATTATCGTAGTCTGACACAAGGTCAGGGGGTGGGGTTAACACTTCACTTTAAAGATCTGTAAGGCCTTCTTGCTCAC